AGCAACTGGAAATATTAGTTTTAAGTAATAATAATATGAATTACATAAACCAGAATGCTTTCTCTGAAATGAAGACTCTAAAGAAACTCTACTTAAATCATAACAACTTAAATTTACTGTTAAGAATGGACAGTCCGGTGTTATTTCTTAATGGGTTGTCGGAACTGAGATTGTTAGACCTCTCCAGTAATGGCTTCAGTAACATCCATGTGGACTCTTTTGCTGATCTTAGAAGTCTTAATAATTTGTCCATCAGCCATAATAAGTTGATGACGCTTTCAAATAACCTCTTTAAACCTACAGTGAGATTGCAATATCTAGATCTGAGCAACAATAAATTTAATCTTTTCAATCAATCTATGTTCCAAAATAGTATGCCGCATTTGGAAAAGATGGCTGCTGGTGGTAGCAATCCGTTTGCTTGTACATGTGACTTAGAATGGTTCAGAAATTGGATTGACTCTTCCAAGGTGTCCATAGTTGACATAAATGAGTGTATTTGTGATTCCCCTCCAGCCTACCGCAACAAACCTATTCTAAGTTTCCACCCGCAAGATCTTAACTGTGACCATAAAATTCCTTTATATATTTGGATAGTTATCGGAACAGGTTTGATATTAACTATTATAATTACAATTGCAATTGTTAAAAAGAGATACTATATAAAATATTTGTATTATGTTGTCAGAGCGCATACAAAAGGCTACCAACCACTTGACAATGAGGATAATAATTATGTGTATGATGCATTTGTGTCCCATAGTAGTGAGGATGAAAAATGGGTTAAAGATATGCGTGAAAAGTTAGAAAAAGAAAATGGGTTCAAACTCTGCTTTCATAAAAGGGATTTTGACATTGGAAAACCGATAGCAACAAATATCATTGAAAGCATTGATGCTAGTCGTCATACAATTTGTGTAATAACAGAAGCATTTTTGGATAGTGGCTGGTGCAAATACGAACTACAGTTTGCATTGTCACGGCTTTTCAAGGAACGTAAGGAGGTCATTATTTTGATCTTTTTACAGAAAATTCCTGA